TTAAAAAATTATAAAATAATCAACAATTTGTGATGTGCTTTTTCAGAAAGCTCTCTTCGTGCAATGTGTTTTTAACATATTTTATTACACACCTTGTTTTACAGTTTCAACTCAGTGTTGTGTGATACGAAAGCGTATATGTGAGTTAAACGAGTGTGCAAATGCTATCGGGTTTGCATCTATGCTGAGTGAAATCATATGTGCCGTTCGATTTTATACTATGTTTGCTCTCATTTTGCTCAATTGTCGCGCTTACACGTTTGCCGTTATCTAAATATATGGTGCGTGTGTTTTGAGTGATTACAGTAGGCGTATTTTGCTTACTCACTCATTCATGATGTTTGTCGTTTGAGTAAATACTCTTTGTTCTCCCTATTAACTCAACTACGCTTGGTTTGTGTCTACGCTAAGTGGATTTAACCTGTTAAACTAGCTCTCCCTCACTCAACCAATGGAAAACTCTGTTGCTCTCGTCACAGTTGTTTGTTTTGTTTATTTTTTTGTTGTAATTTTATTTTTGTTCTCATATAATTTTTTGTTATTGTTGTCATATGATTTTTTGTTTTTATTTTATTTTTTGTTGTAATTTATATCATAGTGCTTTTTTCGTTTCTTCCTTGCTTTGTTTTATATTTTTCTTTTTATTTTGTTTTTAGTGATTTTCTGTAATTTTCTCTTGTGTTTCTTGGTTTTCTGTTTTGCGACTTATTTTTATTAAAAAAAAGTTAATATTTTTTGCTCTACTATTTCTTACATACATATTTATAAACATTTGCATTTTTTGTTTGTGTTTGCAGATTTGTGTTTTTATTTATATTCATATTTATTGCTGTTGTTTTTTGTTCTTGTTTTCGTGTTTTCTGCGGAAATTGTGCTTTTAAATGCCGGTATGTTGTTGTATAGCTATTTACCTCCCTCAAAAAACCGCCATGTAGATATTTTATGCTTTGGAAAAAATCTGACTTGTTGCTTTTTTCTTACCGTGTTATTGTTGTTATTGCAATTTTGGAATAGAAGTTGACTAGCGCGTGTATTTTCAGTGCTTGTTGTTATGTTTTTGTTTTTTCTCAACTGTGTATTTTATTGTTGCCGCTTTTCCACAGTTTTATTTTGTCTAAAAATCGTTTTTTCTGCTTTATTTTGAATTGAAAACATTTTTTGTTATACTGTTGCTTAATTAGCGTGTTCTATTTAACATTTATATATATATGTGTATATGTTTAAATGTATGTAATATACTTTTTTATATTTTATATTTATTTTTTAAATAATCTGCTAGCCCTCTATGCCTTCTAAGCAACTCTTATTTCGGCTTCTTGCTTTGTTTTTAGTTTTAGTTTTAATTTTGGTTTTTTATTTTTAATATTTTTTTTTTTATTTATTATGCGATAAATTTTGTCGTACTTTTTTATCGCAAAAATCTTTTCGTAGGTATGTATGTTAAGTATGTTTGTTTCATTATTTTTTTGTTTGTGTTGTGGTTAGGTGTGTTTACTCTTGTCAGCTACCATTTCATCAGCTTGATTTTGTTTTCTATATATATATATATATAGATATTATATAAATTGTACTCTTTTCTTAGTTGTCGCTCACACAAACTCTGCACTCAGCCAGTATAGTTTTTTTTTCTTGCGCGTATTTATTTAAAACAATTTTTTTTCAAACTTTTTTTTTTAACATTGTATCTTCGTATACATATACATATATAGTTATTTATTTTTGTTTTTGCTTTAAATACAACACATGTAGAGTAATATTCTTAAATATTTCACATACATAACTTTAGTATATATGTCTACATATGTTTTTTGCTAAATTTGCTGCTGAAACTAGCGTAGCTTGTAAAATCTAGCATTTTTCTTTATATTTTTTAATTATAATGAAATAATTTCTTTTATTTTTCATACGTCCGTCACCAGTAGATACACCAAAAATGCATGAAAGCCTTTATTTACTATATATTTTTAGACCGTTATATGTCTAAAAATAATTTTTTTTTGTTTAAGTGTTGTTGTATGTATTCATTATATTCTTTATAAGCACGTTTTTGCTGCAAATTTAATACGTTTTGTGTTACTGTAGGTGTGATTTCTGTTTGCTACTTTTTGTTACACTGTGTAACCTCGTTTTATGTGTGTGTGTATGTATTTTCATGCCTTATGTAACATATTGTATGCAGTGATTTTTGTATATAGTATCTGTGACATTTTCTCCTCCTCCACTTGCTCATTTTTTCTTCGTAAATTTTTCTTAAATAATTTTTATTAACTTTCAAAAATTTCGTTTTTAATTACAACAACAATATTTACTACATATAATTGAAATAAAATATTTTTAATAAATGCATAATAATTTTTTTCTACACA